TTTGCCAACAGGAGGATTTAGATGGCTTGACATAAACAACTTGCCCGATATACGGTTTATTTCACCAACTGCAAAACAAGGCAGTGCTTGGGAAGTAAAATTAAGATATCCGGAAAATCTTCACCCAACATATAGTGACTATCCGCTCTGCCCAGAATGTCAGGTAGTTAAGCGAAGTGAGCTTAGTCCATACCAAAATAACGACCTAATTGATAAACTGAGCAGTGGAAAATTTGCGGAAACAGAAAAATTGGTAGCAACTTTAAAGACTAAAGATCGTTATATTATTCATTACCGAAATCTCCAACAGTGTCTTGAACTAGGGATAGAACTTGAGCATGTATACCGTGTATTAGAGTTTGATCAATCTCCCTGGCTTGAACCATATATTACAGCAAATACTATACGGCATCGTGATGCAAAAAATGCATTCGAAAGAGATCTATGGAAATTAATAAACAATGCAGTATTCGGAAAAACTATAGAGGATATTTGGCGTCGCACACGAGTAGATTTAGTACGACCAATAGGAGAGGAGCATCGACTTCGTAAAATATTTGCAGACCCGGCACTAGTTAGACGTAAAATATTTTATGGAAGTAATCTTATAGCAGTCCATCGGAGGCTAACGAATATTGTACTTAACAAGCCAATCTATATCGGGGCTTCGGTTTTAGATCTTAGTAAATATTACATGTATGATTTCTGGTATAATCATATCAAGCGTAAGTATGGAAATCGTGCAAAATTATGTTATACCGATACAGACTCACTAATTATCGAAATTGAGACTGAGGACATCTATGCCGACATGATTGAAGATGCGGAGCTCTATGATTTCAATGATTATCCTGAAGACTACCCATTACTTGAAAAACTTACTCCAGATCAATGGGTATGTCTTCCCGATGGTTCATGTGAGCTAAAAAATAAGAAAGTGATCGGGAAGTAGAAAGATGAGTTTGCAGAAACTCGAGCATTAAGATATGCTGGAAACTGATCAAAGTCTTATGCATTGGAAACTGAAGATGAGTATAAAAATATACAAAAGGCAAAAGGTCTCAAAAAATCTCTTGTCAAAAAAGAACTAACTATTGATATTTATGAGCGTTGTATTTTAGAAGGTGTGGAGGATGAACCCCGAACTGCAAACTTCTTGTGATGTGAACGTTTCGTTTCATATATAATCTGCCAGACAAAAAGGAGTATCAACCCACTTGACTCCAAGAGATGGATATTAAATGACCAAGTAACAACATGGGCAATTGGGGATTGTCGAATTCCGGCTTATCTATCTGCATTGGAGCAATATGAAAATAATATTCCTCAAGAAATATTGATGGATTTGGGTTTATAAAAGATGAGCTTGACTATTTCATATAATATTATAATATTTTTTTTTCTAGATTTTTATATTTATAATTTAAACTAACCATTTTATTATACAGCAAAGACTTAGTGTTAGCATACAATGACGGAAAATACCCCAGCGAGTAATATTACATGGAAAAGCATTGAGGAGGCGCAACTTAAAATAATAAGAGAGGCAATACGTATTCGCTACAAAAAAGATAGCAAGCTAGTTAGTGAATATGTCACATATGTAAAAAATTTGCGTCAAGAGAATAATCCTGAT